CAGCGATCATCACTGAGTATGTTCAGTGATCGCTGAAGAACTTGCATTGTAAATTCATCAGAGACATCAATGCTTCAAGAAGACAACACTCACACCAAAGAACCTTCAGTAAACGTCGAAGACTGAAACTGAAGATTAGAGACTGGCAAGTACGTGATCTGAAGCGCTATTCAGTGATTACAAGCCTGTCTACATATGTGTGAAGACTGCTCTAGCTTCAGCGCATGGTGATGAGACCTCCAGGTCATTCCAGCATTCAGCGATCAAAGGAAGCTTGCTTAGCATGATTGTTGTTGTCTTGTCCTTATGCACACAAAGGACAAACCCATACCCTTGCAAAAGTTAGTACGGTACGGAGCCGATTAGTCGACTCTTTGTCCACCAACTTTAGGCAAGGATGTCTACTCAAAAATAATGCTTTTGTACTATTCACTATAGCAAAGAACAAGCCTTCCTCTTAAGGCTTGACACGCACTCTAAACCTACCATATTGCATTAAATGTTCATTTAATGCACTTGGTATAAATAGAAGTGTTTCTTCTCCATGCAGAGTGCTCGCATCTCTCTGCTATCCTTTTCTTATTTCAAGCATCTTCTAGCTTAAGTAAAAGATCTTCCTTTTAGCAATCTCTTTTCTTGTAATTGCTAAAGATCTGTGTGTATCCAAAGATTATTTAGATAGATTTTCTTTACCTTATCTTTTCGCAAACAGTCTTGTAAAATCTGTATTGATCTTCTCTATCAATATATATTTTAAATTTGAAAATACTGTGTTTGTATTCATCGCCCCCCTTCTACAAACTGTTTCTTTTCTTGTAGACCCTTACGGGACCAACAAAGACACTCTGCATAGTACATGCAGAGGCTCTATAGTATTGGATTTGATAAGATGAGTAAGAGGCTCTGTATCATGGATGTAGACAAAATAAACATATATATATATATATATATATATGTTCAATATGTGTGTAGAAGCTCTGTATAGTTGATAAGTATCAACTTATTTGATACTTTTACACTTTTTTCTGACTTTATTTATCCATTTTATTTTCCCAAAATTCTGCAAATTGAGTCTTTTTGTTTTATTTTTCTATCTTTTTTATATTGGAAATAATTTGATATGATAAACATGTTTACTTCTTGGATATGTGCTGATTTTTGGAAAAATAGCCTTGTTAATAGGCGTTTGGCTGAAGCATGCTACAGCGTGTGCTGCAGAATGATTCCAGGGGCACTTTTGAGAATAGTACGGGGAATCTTTTGATGTCAAATCCCCCTTTTTGACAGCCCATCTCCTGAAGTTTTTAAGATCTTATGGTACAGATTTAAGATCTAATTTTTGACTAATTTTTGGTAGCATTACTTTACCTATTGGACAATGTAAAAAGTAGGGTAAAAGCTTTATCTTTTGGTCCTTGTCCTCCCTTCTCCTACTATATAAAGGGGGGAGGCTTGGCATTGTGGAGGCAAGTAATTTTAGAGAAGCAATCTAGTAAGAAACTTGAAGTAATTTTGTAAGTTACTTTGGATATTGAAAGTTCTCTTGGCTATAAAGTAATGTTTGGAAGTGTTTTATTTTCTATTTACATTTAAGTCTCTTTTATAATTCCTTTTAGCATTTATTTCTTCTATTTTCTTTTCTTCTCTTGTGCTCTACTTATCATGCTTTATTATTATGCAATTAATTTTTCTATTTCAAGTATATTTAGTCTCTTTTAAAATTCCTCTTAGTATTTATTTTTTCTACTTTATTTTCCTTTCTTATGCTTTATTATTTATGCAATTAATTTTTCAAGTATGTTAGGTTAAAAATATAGCTTGAGTGTTGGGCGATGTTAAGAGAAAAACCGATTCCGTTTGTAGAAATATAAATTATAAATCTTTACAACTACATCATTTTTTTTTATTGCAAAAACATCATCCATGGACAAGTTGATCACTTGCTTAAAAGTGTTAAAGTTTGTTGGATTTAGAGATAAACCAACAAGCATACGTCAACTTGAATGATATGGAAGTAGACTCGAGAGAGCTACATAGAATCGAGGAGACTCGTTTTCACTCCATTTAGCTTATAAAAGGAATAGTTTGAGCCAATGTCGAGACTCCAGCCTTGCATAGAGATATGAAGGCTTAATGTATGACTGTGTGTCATTCTACATCTCGAGAGAGTACCTTAAAGAAGCTATTAGTTGTAAAGATAAGTTATTTATAAAGCATGCTATAGAACCATGCTGTAGCATGTTGTCTACTTAAAAATCGGTTTAATATCTTAACAAATCTCTACACCCTGAGCTCTCTTTTATTACTTATTCACAACAGTAGTGTTTAACCAACTCACCACAAATATTTCTTCGAATTCACCATCTAAAATCATATCTTTATTTAGACTATTAAACGAACTTTTATTCCTTTTCTCCGTGGATGATATTTGATATTTTTACCACTTTATTACTGTGTAAAAGACGATAGTGGATTGATAAGTGTATACTTGCACTAGTCTCCATTTGCTAACAGTCCGAGAGATTTATTTTATATAATTCTCGTAACAAGTTTTTGGCGCCGCTGCCGGGATTAGGCAAAAGTTTTTTTTTAGTAAATCTAAAGATTTGATTTTCTACCATCTTGTCACTTGACTTTAGGTGTGGTGTATGCCAAGACTACCACACGGAGAGATTTTTGAATTGGATCCGGATATTGAGCGAACTTTCAGACAAAGACGAAGAGTGCAAAGAGCATTATTATCTACTCTAACCTCTTCCAATATGGCTGAAAATCCACTTCCACCGCCTCCCCCACCACTGAATGACACTGAAAAAAATAATTAGACTGGCCAACTCAAAAGATGAAGAATTATAGACTATGTTATTCCTGTTTTTGATCAATTAAACTCAAGGATAATTAGACCAGAAATGGAAGCTCTCCATTTTAAGTTAAAACCAGTGATGTATAATATGTTGCAAACCAACGGTCAGTTTAGTGGTTTGTCATTTGAAGATCCACACTCACACTTAAAATCATTCATGGAAATAACTGACACTTTCCTTATCCTAGGAATATCTAATGATGCTCTGAGACTCACATTGTTTCCTTTTTCTCTAAGGGATAGGGCAAGGTCTTGGTTCAATTCCTTACAACCAGGATCTGTGGATTCTTGGAATAGCATGGCAGAAAAGGTTTTAAAAAAATATTTTCCTCCCACTCGGAACACTAAGTCCATAAACGAAATTTGTATTTTTAAACAAATGGACGATGAAGCAGTTCCCGATGCTTGGGAAAGGTACAAGGAGCTATTAAGAAAATGCCCTCACCATGGCATTCCATACTGTATACAGCTCGAGACATTTTACAATGGTTGAATCTCACTGCAAAACAAATGCTCGATGCTACATCAGGAGGAGCTTTCACAACTAGTACCTATAATGATGGATATGATATCCTTGAAAAGATTTCTAACAATAATGGACATTGGGCCAATCCATGTGCACTAGTACCACGCAAAACAGCGGGAGTTCATGACATAGATACTTTTACAACATTGACAACTCAGATGACTGCAATGACCAACTTGATTAAAAATTTAACAAATGGTCAAGCAACACAATCTATAGCCACCGCACATGCTCCAACTGTTGAGTCAGTACAATGTGTGTACTATGGTGGAGGACATCCCTTTGATCATTGTCCATCTAACTCTGAATCAATCAATTATGTGGGGAATCAAAATAGACTAGGACCATTTTCCCAAATATACAATCCTGGGTGGAGACAACACCCAAATATTTCATGGCATAGTCCTGCTTTAAACCCACTAATGAACAAACCCCAAGGGATTTCGCAATTCCAAACACATCAACCTCAACAACATCATCTGGGTCAAGCTCCAAACCATCACCAAAATACTTTTCATCAACAAGCAAATCAGTCATCTTTCCAAAATAAGGCTAAGCAACAAGCCGAATCTTCTACTTCTTTGGAAGCAACTCTAAAAGGATTCATAAATCAAACCAACACAGCCATGAAGCATCAAAACACTGCCATAAGATCTCTAGAAACACAGATTAGTCAACTTGCACTTGAGGTAAGAAATAGACCGACAGGTACCCTTCCTAGTGATACAGAGATTCCAAAGCCAATGATGAAAAAGCATGTGAAGGTAGTGACTTTAAGGAGTGGAAAGAACCTCATAGAGAGTAAACCTATAGAAAAATCTGTTGAACCCAAGGACTCAATTGAGATGGATGTCACAACATCTAGTTCAGATATTGTCACAACCACCTTGAAAGATAAGGGAAAATCAATAGAAATAGGACCACTTCCTAAGAAAGCAGACTTCCCCTTGTTATTTCCGAATGAAGGCAAAAAGAAGGTATCATTTCAAAATGATATTGGAACATCTTCTTCTGAAAGTAACAAGAATGTTGAGTCACATTCCCTCATAATGAACCTATCATCATCCAGGCACCCCCTAGTGAGTCCTATAAACCAGTCATAGCCCCTATTCCTTCTTATATACCTTTTCCACAAAGGTTGAGGAATCAGAAAGAGGAGTTGCAATTCAAAAAGTTCCTTGACGTGTTTAAACAGCTACATATCAACATCTCGTTGGTTGAAGCTATTGAACAAATGCCAAGTTATGCAAAATTCCTCAAGGACATTTTGAGTAAAAAGAAGAAACTGAACGAAATTGAGACTGTGGCCCTAACAGAAGGTTGTAGCTCCCTCCTTTCAAATAAAATTCCCCCTAAACTCAAAGATCCCGGGAGTTTCAAAATTCCCTGTTCAATAGGTGGGAAAGAAATTAGAAAAGCTTTGTGTGATTTAGGTGCCAACATTAACCTCATGCCCTTGTCAGTATTCAATACCTTAGGCATAGGTAAGGCTAGACCAACCACAGTTACCCTTCAGTTAGCAGACAAATCCATAGCTCACCCAAAAGGAAAAATTGAGGATGTATTAGTCCAAGTGGATAAATTCATTTTTCCCGCTGACTTCATCATTCTTGATTTTGAGGCTAATAAAGAGATACCAATCATCCTAGAAAGACCATTTTTAGCAACCGGTAGAACTTTGATTGATGTTCAGAAAGGAGAGTTAATTATGAGAGTAAATGATCCGGATGTCACTTTTAATGTTTTCAAATCCATGAAATACCCTGATTAAAAAGATGTGTGTTCTAACTTGAGTGTCATTGAGTCCTTGTGCCACAAAGAGGGAGTTAAATCTATGTTAGACTTAAGCAAGACTGAAGTTGTTGAAGAGATAAAACATGGAGAGGAAAGTGAGATCACTGTTAGCTCTCATTCCTTAAATGTAAAAGTATAGAAAAAGTAAAACAGCAAGCACTGACAGAAGCTGATCTGTCACAGAAGACAACAAAGGACAATCAACAGAAGTAGCTCAATCTTACAAGATTCAAGTGACAGAACCTCTGTCATCCATCACAGAGGTTCTGGAAACTTCTCCTCTGAAAACACCATGCTACAAGTCAAAGACGACATAACCTCTGTCGTGTCTCACAGAGGTTCTGGAAGATTTCCTCTGCGCTCTACAAAGTTTCATCCAGCAGAGCCTCTGTGAAGTCTCACAGAGGA